ATTGTATGAGAATATTCCAAAATGTTAATCTGTATGGCTGAGGTTTGCTTTAGCGTAGTAGACCTGTTGAGTATTCTTCCTCAAAATGTTCTATAAAATTTAAGAAATAAGGACACAAAACACTTAATGTATTAACAGAACTGTTTCTATTTAAATCCGACTGCAGAAAAGACGCCTGCATACAAGTTTTCATGGCGGTATTCTGTTAATTTGCCCTAACTTTCATATATTTTGGATAGTATAACTAATAAATTCTACCATACTACTTATCTCCATAAGTGCTTCTGATGACTCTGTGTACCTGATTCATGTCATTTGTTTTTCTTTGTTAATTGCTGATGGTAGCGGAGACGTGGATAGATAGCTCCTGTACTAAGATCACACTAAATATACACCTTAATTTATACAGTCTCCTAAAACGAGAACGGAATGAGACGAAGAACAGTTTTGAAATAATTCAAATTAAAAACTTGCGAATTGGTTACCAGTTTGCAGTGTGTACAATTCGAGGTGTGAAATTTTCACCCCAGTGTCATTTGGATTGAGATCGCAAACTGTGATCTGTAATCTTCAGTTCGCCTAAGTAGCTAGTCAGAAATATGGCGATCTGAATTGATTAGGCTTTCTCAGCTGAGTCAAACCGAGTAAGCCGCTGATGAGCTAGGTTTAAAACCAGCGAAACAGCCATCTGGTATTTAAATTACTTCTGTCTGACTGGCAAGCACTTCTGGTTGATATGAACAGTATACAACTACTCATCTCAACCAGTCAGTAGTATATAGTTTTCTGCAAAGTTCTGCGATAAGGCAAAATAATGTGTTCAAATAATCTATATTACATCTGGAATTCCTGTATCTTCAATCCACTGTGTGCGTCCTGTGGATTGTGTATTAAAATACAGTCTGCTAGTGTTTATGAAATTCTCTGATGGTTAAAAAGAAATCCCGTTGGGTGAGTAGTGCCGATGAGTCTCAAACTCGGGTGAAACCGCTGTAGAGTACTCCCTGATTTTCAGTGGTTCTTTAGCTGATAACAATCCTTCGTCAAACTTAAAAAGAAAAATCAAATTCCCACAAACCAACTCTTGAAAGTTTAAAAGAATGTTTTTATTGTTTAAACCAAGTAGTCAAAACTTATCTTTACATGGTCTTCAAAAAGGTGTAGAATCTTAAAATCAAAGTGCAATTAATTCCTTATCTCAATCATCTACTCGAAAAGAAAAACGATGCATGATTCTAAAAATCTCAAGTTTATCTGTATTATACAATCTTTTATAAAGAGAAAATTAATGACTCTATTTAATCTTGCTAATGAATACACCTAGAGAAAGCGGCTCACATGATTCGATTAAAGAAAAGTTTCTCTTCTTTCATTGTTTCTTTGTTCTAAATCACTCTACACAAACTCTGCATAACCACTTTGAGATAAGTGATAAAATATCCATTTAAATGCTTTAGATATGTTGAAAAAATAATTTCGATGGTAATGTTATCGACAAGATTCAGACTAATTTTGTAGTCACTTTTTGTCTGTTTCCCATCAGTATCACCGAAAAGATTTTTTTCTTATAGTTATGTTAATTTACTAGATTTACTGTATTCAAGGCAAAATGTTTTGAGTTGATGAGTCAGTTTCTAATAAATGGAAATTAAACTCCATTTAATAAACCTCTGCAAAATTCACAAACGACAGAGAATCCGTAAGCGCTGATCCGAATAAAATATTGATACTAAAATTTTTGATTACCTTACATTCCGAGTGGTCTTTGAAGTTGGTCTTCAAGCGAGAGCTTTGAAGTTTCGGTAGCAGGGATGTTTATTTTCACGGGATAGGGCTGATAACCTTATGCCAAAACTCCCCTCTTCACCAGTCTTATTACTGGCTTAGTGAGGTAAGGGAGCGCGTCGACCAGGGATAGAACTCCAGACCACATGCGTGGTTGGTGAGCATTCCACCACTGTGCCACCGACGCACTCACACTAATTTACTGGGATATTATATAAGTTCTGTCACTACTATTATTGTCCTAACGGGGTCCGACTGGAACATACGCCTTCAATAACACATCTCCACTTTTTTTATTTTCTGCTGTCCTTTTCAGCTGGGTCCACGACTGACCATAATCTCTCATCTCCTCCTCACCACACGATCTCCTCCATGCCACCTTCACATCAACGACCCACTTGTCGTTTCCCTTTCGGATTCCTCTTGACCGATGGCCTACATTGTGCGTGATCTCATTGGTCAGTCTCCTCAGCGTATGCCGAATTCATCTCCAATTCCTCCCACATATTTGTTGAGCAGTTGGTTCTTGGTAAATTTTTTCTCATAATTTCTTGTTGCAAATTCTTTCTGATAAGCCATCTGATCTTCAGTATAGAGATAGATAAGGCAGCTGTTGATAAAAGTCTTCAATAAGCTGTCGGAAATTCCTTCCATGATGCATTCACCAAGTCTGTCATCCACATGGAAGAACTGACTGACTTGACACTGGTGTTGAAAATCTCAATCTTGTTTTTTATGTTGATTGTGTGTGGAAAATTTCCAAAGTGGCGTCAGGTTGACGAAGGCGTGTCTTGCCCTTCCGATTCTAGCTGGCTGGCTTTGACATCTCCATCTGTTCCCCCCCTTTAGTAGAAACAATGCTTCCCAGACAAGTGAAGGAGGTAACATCTCTCAAGTTTCTCCCGTCGATGGTGATTGATGCTGGTTGTTGTTGCTGCTGGTTGATTACCTTCACCACCCGCATTCCCTCTATCTCACTTGAAGTCCTGCCTTTGCTGTCTGTTCCTCCTGCCAGTTTGCTGGTTTTCGCCTGCAAGTCTTCCAGTTTGTGTGACACTTCTAGAGTCTTCTTATCCGTCGGACGTATTCCTGTCTTCTTACTCCCCTCAGGCAGTCTGACGCATATTCCAGTCTACCACGATTACGAATATCATAGGTGGTAGTAGGCGGTTTTGTCTTACTCCTGTATTCACTTCGAATGTCTAGCTGAGTTTTCCGTTGTGATTGCCATAAGTCTTTAAGGAAACAGAGATGTCTCCATAGATATGGCTTAAAATGACGTTCATGCGGGATAGTATTAGTTACTTATTTACCAATATGCTGATTAATAAATCAGCATCACTATCATAAGCATCAAGGTATTATAAATAAATCTGCTGGAATAATAGATTAATTAACCGTTTCGAGATAAGATAATGACTTGTCAAATTGTGGTATATCTATTATTACTCTGATAAAGATATGTTAAAAGAAAAAGAAAGTTCTCTTTGACTTAATCTCATATTATCACACTGGCTTAAACAATAAGCACAGATATCATATTATGACATGGGTGATAAAATAATTGCTAGCTAGAATACTAGAGTATTTAGTACTCTATTCATTGTAACTCACTGACAGATTCTCTAAAATATATAGACGTTTCTCATGAAATGACATCCAAAACAGCTCAGAAATAAATAAAAAATAGCAATAATAAATTGGTCCAATAACTTCCCACAACTGGACGCCTGTCGTTGTTTTGAAACTGCTTTAATTACGGAAATTAAGGCAGCCTTATACGTTTTTATCTGTTAGTAGGTTTAATAACCGTGTAAATTGTGAAAGACTATAAATAATTCAGTTGCTTACGTGACTAGGAGTAATAAATGTGACGCATGAGAAAGTTCTCAATCATGCAAATAATGTGAATGTCGCCACTACTACTTCGCAAACTTAAACTGATATAGTGGACTTGTCAAGTCACCTACACAACGCTCTGACTTTCATCACCCAACTAGTTGTATATTTATAACAGCAAAAATCATGTCCTATTTTGAAGCATCGAATCCAAATCTAATGAATTTTATCATTTCACTTAACCACATTTTGATTTCAGTAAGACATACACTGGTAATGCCAAATAGTCAAATCAGATACCCGCTTAGATCAGACTGTAGTAAAACAAAAGGGATAGACTAGCAGAGTATTAAAAGAAAAAACCTTCAGTGTCGATAAAGTAACTTAGATATTAATAAAGCATGTTTTCTTTTCCCGTTACTGTATAACTTTAAGAAGCCATGAAAAATCCAAGCACGAGTTTACTATTATTCATTTCACATATTTCGTTTTTTATTTCATTAAAATGCGAAAACCTATGTGTAGGTCATATGAAATTGCTGTGATTTGACCTGAATTTTTTGTTTGTAAGACAAATTAATGAGGCTCTGATAAAAGGCATACAGACTTATGCACATTTCGTTTTGATAATTACTATTCTATTGATTATTTCGATCTTAATACATTATGTTCCCAATGGAATATAGGGCTTCAAGCTACAGGCTTGAAGCTTCGGTTGCAGTGGTGTTTAGCTTTACGAAATGGGTTTGCTAGCCTCATGTCCAACCTCTCCTCTCTAACAGTCTTATTACTGGTGTAGAGAGGTAAAGGAGTGCGTCAGCCGGGGATCGAACCTTGACCCACATGCGTGGCTGGCGAACATTCTACTATTGTGCCACCGATGCACCATTTTGATAATGGTCTGTTGTTTTGTTCTTGATTTTTTTCGAAGTTATTTCCTTAAAGATGTCTAAACATGTTATTCAAATGAATATTAACAGTCATCGATTGCACCTGTTATCAGATTATTGGACCATAGAATTAGTAAATTAATTACAATTGAATTTATGTGGAAAGAAAACTATTTCCTTACGGCATAACCCAAGTTTCTGTTCAAAATTGTTTCAACCTGTTAAGTGCAAACAGGAAACTATCAAATAAGTTCGCTTTCTTAGAAATCAGTGAACCGGTAAAATGAAGGAACAATTACAATCGGTATAAACACCATTAAGAGTATAAATTATAAAATAGTGTTAATCAGCAGACTAAAGTTCTTTTTTACCGCCGATTTTTATTTTGACATGTTCTGTGTATACACTATGTATACAATTGACACTTAATCATCGTATATCATCCGAATGAAAATAATAAACTTTCACCTTTCATTTACTTTTCAGTATGGCATTCATAGAAGAAAGAAATATCATCTAACCTCTTGTGTTCGAATGTATCAAACCGGAAATCCTATCGCGATCACAACAATCAAAAACCAGTTCAAATTATGAGTTAACAAATTAACTATAATAAATGGAAACTGGTGGTGATGACTTCGACAATATGGAAAGGTTAAATCCCATGAAAAAGGAAAACAATCACAACAGAGAAGAAGAAGATGATGATGATGACAGGAATGAAGCCGCAGCAGAACAAAGTCATGACGAAGAAACAGATGTAGAAAAAGTCGATAGAACAGATGACGTAATAAATTCCTCAGAACTTAAATGTACACATATTTTCAATGATCAGTTGAATTCATCAGATTCTACTCAACTGAAAACCAGAAATAATAAAAAGTGTAGAGCACCATTACTACAGCATAACAACCGAGTGAAAAATAAACATTTACACACACAAGTTATTCCCAACAGAAAGTCCGAATCACACTTATCATCTAGTTCAATACCAGAAACTACAGAAAATGAGTGTACACCATCTTTATTAACACAAATTAAACAACAATTTAGACAATTCTGTGAAACAACTTCCTTACGAGGTGTACCGAAAATTGTCAGTACAAAAGATTCCAAGCGCCGATTTTTATGGCTTATCTTTGTTATTGCATTTTTCATTGGTTGTATCACATGTTTAACATTTATTATTAATCAGTATTTAGAATTTGATGTTATTCATCAACCAAAAAAGCTTTATGATCAACCACGACCATTTCCTTCTGTAACACTATGCAATTTACGTCCATTCTCTACACGTGATATACGTAAATTGAAAAAAGCTGGTGTTCTACCTGTGGATATGTACTTTGAAATGTCAAAACGTTTTGCCGGCAGTATACCTGCAGAGTATCGTCGATATTTAACTATGCTATGGGATTTTTCTACATATTTAGCCAACCTTCCAGAATTAGTTGATGCTAAAAATTTAGGTCATTCCCTAGACGATATTGTAAAACGCTGTTTTATATTATATAGAACTGGGAGTATAACAAGAGGAACAGCCTGCGAGAGATCAGGCTATTGGACAAGAACACAGGATCGTGTCTTTCATAATTGTTACACTTATACAGTTAATCCGAACAGAACTAATACAGCTTTAAACATGGAATTAGTAGTTTATTTGGACAATTTAATTGAACAAACCGATTGCTTTGATTGCCAGGTAAGCAAAATTATTTAAACAGTCTAATGTATGCATAAAGAGTTTATTAATAATAGTAATAACTTTTTGAAATAATACAGAGGATTTGTAAAACTTTTGAATACAGGAAACACCAAAACTACTGCCAGGGAATTTCTAGAAGCCTGGCAATCAAGTAAACCAGTCAGTAATTAATAAACACATTAATATAGACCAAATTTACCAGCTAATAAAAAGTAAATCATGTGACAAGAAGGTTCAAATTCCAAGTCAATAAAAATATGATCAATAGAGATGTAAATCAACTACCGGTCACAAAGACGATAGCCAGGAGACACATTTCAAATGAGTTCATTTTATACTAAAGCCTGCTCTGAAGATGTTGTCTAGAAGGGAGACAACGAAAACTTCGCGATTAAATCAGCCAGCTCCTTAGAGAACACGAAAAATTCAAAATAATTACTTTTTAAGTTTATAATTGCTAAATATAGGTGATTTGGTGCTTCAGCGACAAAACGCTCGCCAAATACATCCTTGGTTTGGGGTTTGATTTCCAGCCAACGCACGCTCAGCCAGCTGTAAGCCAGGTAAAAGAGGGAAGGTTGGGCATGAGGCTTGCAACCCCAACCCGTAAGAAAAAGAATAACACCAGTGCTACTGAGAATTTGAAGCTCAAATCTTTGGCCCCTATGTTCCATTTGGAAAACATAAGAATAAAATTTAAAGAACTGCTAAATATCTTAAAATTTTTGTGTATCATAACTGAATTTTTTTCATTTTAAACTGACATTCAACTTTTGAAACTAAAAATCGTAAGATTTGATCACACAGAAAAGAAAGTAGTAGACTGAGTTCGTAATTAAGAAATATTTTTCATACTGTAGAAACAATATCTTTTTAGTTTATCCGAAAATGGAATCAGTCCTATCCAATTAAAAGTATCAACACACTGTCACCGAACAAAGCGTTGGATGGCGGTCAAACCTGTACCTCAACTTCATCGACTTCAAGAAGGCCTTCGACAGACAGCTTTGACCGAGAAATAATTTGGAAACTGCCTCAACACTACGGCGTGCTCCAAATCTTTATCAACCTCAATCAACAGATATATGACAATACCATGTATCGAATAACTCAGCGAAGCCTATTCAGTCAATACGGGAGTACGAACAAGCTGCTTATTATCACTAATAATATCTTTCATTGTGGAGGGCTGTAATGTGCGTCAGACTGTGTATGGGGAGTGAGGAGACAGGAATACGCTGGACGACCAATAATAAGACTTTAGAAGATCTCGATTTCACAGATGATATATATCTAATGTCACACACACAAACTCGAAAACTTACAGTCAAAAATCAAAAGAATGGCAGAGGATACAATGAAGCGATGACAGGACACCAGGAGAACATGGAGAAGACGGAGGTGATGAAGCTAACTAACCAATAGCAACAACAACGACAACAACCAGCACCAGTCACCATCAAAGGTAGAGATTTGACAGCGGTTAATTCCTTCACTTATCTAGAAAGCATTATTCCAACCACAGCCAACGGGACAAATGATGTTAAAGCCAGCTAACCAGAATCAGAAAGGTACGATACGCCTTCATCAATCTTAAATCAGTTTGGACATCTTCTGCGCTCCGTCTCAGCATAAAGAACAAGATTGGGATCTTCACCCCCAATGTGAAGTGAGTCATTTCTTCTATGTGGGTGAGAAACTTGGCGAGTACATAACGATAAGCATTTCAGACAGCTTGTTGAAGACTTTTATCAACAGCTGCCTTATCTTGTTCCATTCTAAAGATCAGATGGCCGGTCAGAAAAAATTATCAAAAATTAACTCTGGGCACGAACCAACTAAGAACCTATTGCCCAATAAACATGCAAGAGAAAATGGAGATGGTTACAACATACGCTGAGATAACAGCTGGGTGACATCACGCATTCGGCCGTTGAGTATAACCTCAGTAGGAAACGACGAGTTTGTTGTACAAGTGTGACATGGAGAAGATCATGTTTGGAGGAGATGAGAGCTGAATAGGAATCCCGGCGTGAGCTAAAGAGGAATGCAGACAACAGAACAAAATGGGAATGTCTTGTTGAAGCCATATATTCCACTTGAAACCCATATATATATATATATATATATATATAGCTTTAATGGCCGGCACTTCTTAAAGTAATACCTGTATTTGTGTAAGACAGATGATAGTTTTAACTGCATTAAGAACTGTAGTCGTTTGACGAAAAAATCAACGGATGCAGTAGACCGAAGTTTAGACCTTATAATTCTTATCTATAAACGTTTAAGAACTTTCTTAGAGAGTGAGTGGTTTCACCTACTAAAATCTTGTAGTTCATACCAATGTAGGTAAGACTACTTTTAAAACCATACGTTTTAAAATCTGTTGTTCATGTTAATGGGTTTATACAAAAGTAAAAATGAAAACTGGTTCTTTCATTTCCTACGTTAACTTTCAACCTTAATCAACATTAAAAAGTTGTAATGTTTGATTAAACTGATAAGAGAGCATGATTTGATAGTAGAATGCTCACCAGCCTCAAAGGAGATCTGTAATCGATTCCCAGCCAACGTACACCCAAATGTTGCATGATCATAGTAGACTGTAGTCAGCTTGATAAAGGAGGATGGTTTAGCGTGAGGCTAGCAATTTTATCTCAAAGTGAATAACAACAACGCTATTGGAACTTCAAGGCTTGAAGCTGTATTTTCTACTCGGAACTCTTAGAAAGGAAAACAGTACTGTGACATTTATTTCTGTTTGCATAGACATTGACAAAACATACATATTCGTGAGACTTCATTCTTATTAAACCCATTAGTTTGTAAGGAAAAATAAATTAGTACAGATACAAGTATCTTAAAGAAATAATTATTTACACTTCAGAGTTTTTTAAAAGTAATGATTACATGATCAGTTTACTATGGAACTTATAATTAACTGAGTGTCTATTAAATACAACAAGATTCAATTACAATCTGTATGAATTAATCAGACAATGAGATTCTAAGTCACTGAAATTAACCTTATTAACATGAATTATTCCAGAGCACAGCAGAAACTACCATGTTCTCTAATAAACCAAAATGTTCAAAATAAAGTTTTAGATTCAAGTGAGGCGTTACAACATAAAATTCTAATTTCGCTAATAGATTCACTTATTGTGTGATTTTAAATCTTTAAATATTCCCATTATTAATAATAAAACACGACGATATAAGCGAACAATACTGTCTTCGATTAGATCTTCTTCAGGCTTTACTCTAATTTACATAGATTTATATGTTTTTACGAGTTTGCCGATGGTTTGATATCAGTTAGAGAACCACTGAAAACAAGGAAGTACTGGATAGCTACTGGATAGCTACTTCGTCCTAGTTTTGTAATAATCGACAGCACTCACCCGACGGACATTGGTTGGTGGTCATGCTAAATCACGAATTGGTAGAAGTTAGAATTCATAGGCAATTGAATCGGGTCCCAGTGGCTGAATGGTATTCGAGCTTGCCTTGTCCTGGGTTCGAACCCCAGTAGGTGCGTACTGCCGATGGTTTTCAAACTAGGACGAAACAGTTGTCCAATACTCCCTGGCTTTCAGTGGTTCTCTAACTGATATCAATCCTTGGTCAAACCCGTAAAAAACAAATTTAATCCTTACAAACCAACTCTTGAAAATAGATTTACATATAAAAATCTTAAGCAGTGACGGTGAGTTTGTAGATTAAATAATAATGATAATGAGGTAAGTGTTTTCAACGTTAGTAATAACAATGATTATAATGGTAACAATTTAATGATTATAAGGTTCATGCACGTGGAGATAAGAATAACCAAGGTAGCAATATGTGTATATTCCAACAATTCAATTAACAAATTAGGTCAAATCTTAAAAGTTACGTAATGCTAAAGGTGAAGTGGACAGGTAATCAAAGTTTAAAAAAATATGTGTGAATGAAATGGAAAATAAGAAAGGGTAGGAGGTTTCTAATTAGAAATTTCCCTGGGCCAAATGAGAGACAAAGGTAGAACAAACAAATTTGTACACAGAGACTAGGATTGTTCTCTCGAATCGCATTGCTCCGGCTATGTGTAAAAGGCGGGTTCGAATCCTGTTTGAAAGGTTCGATGCAACGCGATAGATAACTTTGAAGACACTTCTTCTGCCCACTTGATGATTGCTATCAATCAAGCGAGACAAAATAGAACTTCTTATAAATTTTGTTTGGCTTTTTCGGAACCATGAAGGAAGTTGCTCATTAATGCGTTTGTTGAACTGTCTAGTTGTTCGCCCTATATAGCTTTCTTCACAGGAGTAATTGAATTTGTAGATACGCATAGAAGAGGCACAGTTAGACAGCTTGCCTTTTGCTTCAGCAATCTTAACTGGTTGTCTGGAAAATGATAAACAACGTGTGGTGGCAGTTTAAGTCCTTTTTATTGTTCTAGATGATCTCATATGTAGGACTTCACTAGCCACGTCCCTATTAAATTGCAATTTAAGAGACAGTTTTTATTCCTTTAACTGTTGTCAGTTTCTCTTTATTATACCTGGTGTTCATGTGCCTCCTTACAAATCCATTTATGCACAGTTGCCCTTTATTCTAAGTCTCCGAAACTTACATTGACTACAAGCATTGCGTGAAGTGTATTTTACCATTTCCATACTAATTTGTATATTACATATGTCCAAAAGTCAAGCAGTAATATTATCTAATGGATGATGTTTCTAACACAATTTATTCTTCACTAATCATATCACTTATAACTACGCAACTTCGAAAGTTGAGTTTAATAGTTTTAAAAAAATATATATTTTCCTGCTCGTCGTAGGGGTAGTCGAATTTTGCAGATGTCCCGGAAATTTGTTGAATTGTTTCTATAACACGTATTTTCAGTTGATTCAATAAATAAAGCTCCCGTTATCAATCTCTCCCTTCACCCTGTTATATTAGATTTTAAGGTTGTTATCTTATCCCATCCTGTTGCATGGTAG